GGTATTGAGCTGTCGATCAACCCGAAAGTAAAAAAAGCCTATATAAACACACACACCATTACGAATATGAGCCTTTAACAGTAGGCATTAATTGTCACTAAATAAAGCAAAGTTTTTTTTTATCTTGCTGTATCAAAACATGAAGAAGAACATTCTCGCGAGGAAGAAAGAAATGAGGTTGCCTTTGTGGGTGAGTAAATGTTGTTTTTTCTCTCAAAATGTTTTAAAAACCCAAATATATATATATTAAAATATATTTATTTATTATGTATATGTATAATTATCCTATGTAATTAAGTATTAATTAAATATCACTGTGCATATTAATTAGGCCTAACTGATATGTGAAATTTAATACGCCTACAACTTAAGAAGATATTTCAATTATGTATCTTGTATGTTCATTGTGGAATAAATGCACATATTTCTTCTCCAAGTTGGTCTGGATGCAGCAGGGGAAACAACAGTGCTCTACAAACTCAAACTTGGTGAAGTTTGGACATAATGTTATGTTTTTTTTTATAATTTATGAATAAAAATAGATCCAGTAAATGATGAATTTATACAAAAAATGTAGTAGCCTACGTTTATGTTTCACTTTCAATAAATAATCATATTTGCAGAATGAATTACATTTTTGGAAAATACTAACTATTAATTTGTCATTTAGCTAAAGTTTTTAGCTGATGCCATCTTCAAAAGTAAAACATGTTAGTAAAAACTGTAAGTAACCATATAGGCCTATGGCAAAAATTATATTAAAAAAGACATTACATGTAAGTGTACTGTAATATATGGTACAAATGCTTTTTAAAAGTAAAACATAGCCTATAATTTATGGAAAATGTTATGGTAAAATATTGTAAGACAACAATAGTATCTAATTGTCGCTATGAGTACTGTGCACTGGATTGTTTTACGCTGTGTTGTGTTGTATGGTTAATGTTTAGTATTATTTTATTGTCATATGTGTTACCCTGATTGCTCTTGTTTGCTGTGAGACTGGCTCATATGTTATTGTGAAGAGCCCATTATAATGCACTTTAAGACATCACATGCTCGTCCATTGCATCTGATGTGTTATTTTAGGTGTATATTACAGTAAAAAGTATAATCCCTCAAATAGGTTGGAATATTAACATATTTTTATGACACACTCGCCCCCACCAAAACGCTTTAACATTATCACAGTGTTTTAGGGTAAATGTCTGGCAACCACAGCTGCTAGGTCAGGCTATTTGATTATTTTTTAACAAAACATTTTCACGGTTTATGTACTCCCTGCTCACATTTGCCAAACATTTGTTTAGTTAAATGTTATTCAAATGAAATCAAAGACTTCCAACTTCAAACTGTAAAAAAAAAAAAAAGTTTGTTTAGACACGTGATACAGTAGGTGACGTCATATCGAACGCGTTGGATTTGCCGCGAGAAAAACTCAGAGTGGCGGTGTTGAGCTGTCAATCAAACCGAAAGTTAAAAAAGCCTATATAAACACACACACACAAACACACTGAACACACACCATAACCAGTCTGAGCCTTTAACTCTAGGCGTTTATCTTCAGCAACAGCGGTTCTGTCTTATTGCAAACATGGGCAACTATTTCTCACAGATTTTCTCTCGTCTCTTTCCGAAAAAGCAGATTAGGTTGCTTATGGGTGAGTAAATATTTTTTTCTCCAAACTTTTAATTTTAAAGATCTTATAGTTTGGCTACTGTTTATGCCACTTTATTGCTTAAATTGTTATTATGTGCTTAAATAATTTTAATGCCTATAAAGAAAAATTAGCATATGAATAATCTGATATAGCCCATATATGAATATTTTAATTGTGGAATAAATGTAAATATTTCTTCTCCAAGTTGGTCTGGATGCAGCAGGGAAAACAACAGTGCTCTACAAACTCAAACTTGGTGAAGTTGTCACAACTATTCCAACTATTGGTAAGAAACTTTTAGATGTTTGTCATGTTTAACTGCCTTATATGGATTTATTGTCTGTTTTTATTGAATATTATCCATTTTCTCTTTAGGTTTTAATGTTGAAACAGTTGAATATAAAAACATCTCCTTCACTGTGTGGGATGTTGGCGGTCAGACCAAAATCAGAGGTCTTTGGAAATATTATTATCAATACACTGAGGTAAGAATTTAATACAAACACGACTGTATGCAGTATGATTTTGCAGTTATATTATATTTGAAAATGCCATTTTAATGGAGTGAACAAAATGTGTGTTTGTGTGATTCAGGGCCTGATCTTTGTGGTGGACAGCAGTGATCATGACCGGATTGAAACAGCAGCAGAGGAACTAAACGCGATGCTGGCGGAGGACGAGATGAGAGACGCAGTTCTGTTAGTTCTTGCTAACAAGCAGGATTTACCCAAAGCCATGGCGGTCCACGAGCTGACAGACAGACTGGGTTTACACGCACTGAGAGGAAGACAGGTGAGACACACAAACTCTGTTTGACATGTAGTGCATGCTGTCAGTGTGTGTTTCAGTCAAATAAACACGTGCTTCTCTCTCTGTCTCTCAGTGGTTTGTTCAGGCCACATGTGCGGTTCAAGGATCAGGTTTATATGAAGGACTGGATTGGCTCTCAGATCAACTGTCCAAACGATAAAACACTGCAGCCTTCAAACTACTTGAAGAAAGGACACTAAATCAGAACTGAATGTAGTCTATATATCATATGTCTCCAACTTAATTTTTTTATATTGAGATATTTATGGGATATTATTACAGTATATTTTCTAGTATATATAATTCTAGTTCAGTACATTCTGTATTGTTAATTTACCACTATCAAGACATTTTTAAACAATTTTAGGCCTATTTTTGATTCTGATGTACGTTTGCCTTCATTATGTGCCTTTTTAAATTCACTAGATTGTACGCGAATTTATAAATTATGCACTACTGCTCTACTGTGTACTATTATTTTATTTATCTACTACTGTATTTAATGTACTGTTAATTTACCGCTGTAAAAGACATGCTGTTATATGTCACGTTTGACTTATTTTAATACATGTTTTGTTGTATTTGGACTTTGAAAAAACAAACTGATGTCTACCTGAAATATATGTATCTGTGCCTTTCAAATATCTCCAATAAATAATGCTTATTTATTTACATTAGTGTGCTTATGTGTCATTTAATAAATTAATATTACAGAATAGAAAAATGTGTGAGAAATAGAGTGTTTTGCACAATTATGATAGATAGATAGATAGATAGATAGATAGATAGGTAGATAGACAGACAGATAGACAGAAAGATAGATAGATAGATAGATAGATAGATAGATAGATAGACAGAAAGATAGATAGATAGATAGATAGATAGATAGATAGATAGACAGAAAGATAGATAGATAGATAGATAGATAGATAGATAGATAGACAGAAAGATA